AAAGTAGATCATAACTATATTTATGATAATTTTCCAGGCAAATTTGCCTGGAAAAGCCTACAGTTTAAGGGATAATCGATTTTACATCTATTAATCATAATTAGTTTTGATTTAAATTGATTACCAACACACCTGATGATAGTAATCAATTAAAATCAATCAAATTAATCAATTATAATAAGGTTTTAAATTTTCCTGATGATGAACACAAAAAGTATGTATTTGCTTAAACATAAAAAGGAACCCCATATAATTTGTATCAATTAGTTTAATATTGTCTTATGATATAATATGTACAAATAATACCAAAATGTGTTATTTTGATGTAAAGTGCATAGATATCATTTGAGTACTATCAAAAGAAAACCTGTCATTGGGCTTTCAATTATATTACACCGAATACAATCAAATAGATTATGTCTAGTACAAAATATAAATGAAAGCCCGATGTTAGATTTTCTCTTGATGGTGTTTATTTGTGAAAATATAATAGACCACCATAATAAAAGGTGGTGAAAAGAAATAAATAAAGAAATATTACATATTAATTATAATAAACTGGCACATCCAAAATTAATAATAATAATAATAGTCTATACTATATAAATAGCATGTATTCTCAGGTCTCACTAAAAAAAAAAAAAAAAATCATCATTTAGTGATAAATTAATAAAACAAAATACAATTAAAAGTGCTTTCAAAGAAATTGAAAATTCTCAAACTAATTCTAAGCTACCAAGCTATAGAAGTATTGCAAAAAAATATGGCATCTCAAAGATTACTTTAAGACGTGCTATTGAAAATAGCGACTCTCTTGATCGCTCTGGCCCTGCCAAAGTTTTAACCGATTATGAAGAAGAACAGCTTGTCGGTTATTGCTTAAATATGCAGAGGCTGGGCTTTGGATTAACAAGATCAGGGTAAATCAATATGTAATGGATATAATTTACCAAAACAACTGACCACACCCCTTTAAAGAAAGTGGACCAGGTTAATCATGGTGAGAACGATTCATGAGAGACTACCTGGAGCTTTCATTTTGTGTCCCCCAAGCCTTAAACGAAGCATGAGCCCAAAGAGCCAACCCTATTATTGTCAAGGATCACTTTAAGAAACTTCAAGAAATTATTGAAAGTCATTTACTCACCACGGCCCAAATTTGGAACATGGTCTTTTTCATAAATTACTTTTTTTTTCCTTTTTTTTTTTTTATTTTTTTTTATTTTTTTTTATCATCATATTAGAATAATACAGGCTTCATTATCAATCCAACTCTTCAAAAAGTCATTGCAAAAAAGGATGCCCATCAAGCTCATCAGGTTTCATATAGAAACTCTCAAGAATATATTTCGTTATGTCCAACTATTTCAGCAGCTAGAATATATATACTACACTGTTCATCTACAAAGGAAAGCGCACGATCTCTGGTTTTTTGAATAGTGCATCCACAGGTTCTGTTATGGGATTCACAAATACAGGATATATGAAAGAGTGCCTTTTTCAAAAATTCATCGAACATTTCATTCATTCAATTCCACCTACTCACTCTGTTCTATTAATTCTTGATGGTCATAAAAGTTATGTTAACTATACTAATGTTAATCTCTGCTTTAATAACAATATTCTTCTTTATATGTTTCTACCCTATACAACCTATATACTTTAACCTTCAGAGCTTCCTTTCACTCCATTTAAAAAAGCCTACAGTAAAGGTTTTGAATAGCTCTATTTGAATTATAATGGTGAATTAGTTACAAAGCATACATTTGCCAAAATTCTGGGTCCAGCATATACTAAAACTTACACACCTGAGACTATTTGTAACACCTTCAAAAAAACTGGAATTTGGCCATTTAATCTAAATGCAATTAGTCCTAACTGTCTTGATCCTTCTCTTGCAACAAAACAGTTTGATGTTTTCCAACCCAACTTTTTACACCAGCTCTACTGGCTCTACAATCACTTTTTATCCTAGATTCAAGTCCTGCTCCTACCACTTCTAAGAAAAGATCACTCAAAGTCAAGGTTAAAACTCTTAATCTTCGAGTTGATCAGTTGGAAGCAGAGTTAGAGACAACGAAAGAAGAATTGGAAGCCTTTAAAAAT